CAAAGGAAAAAATATCCTCAGGTGAGAATTAACTAAATAAATAAGCAAATAAATAAAAAAATACATACATTGATAAATAAGTACATTAAAAAACCAAATTATTGCTTGAGGATAGAATGTGCCTTGCTCTTCTATATATACTAGAGGCCCAATGCATGAAATTCATGCAAGAGTAGGCCTTCCTTCCCCCAGCTACCGGCACCGGCTTTCTTCTGGCACCCAGGACCTGGGCTTCCCTTGCAGCCCCAGCATTGTCCAGAAGGACTTCTGGTCTAATTAGCATATTATGCTTTTATTATTATAGATAAAAGGCTAATATGCAAAGTGTCCCCTTGGGAGTTTGACCAGGAGACTGGGAGTTGGATTGCTTGCTATGACATGCGCTGACCACCAGGGGCAGCACAAAACGAAGGAAGGCCCTGGTCGGCAGCCAGAAGGCCCTGATTAGCCCCAATTGCCAGCTAGGCCTAGGGACCCTACCTGTGCACGAATTTCGTGCACTGGGCCTCCAGTTAAATATAACAAGCTCTTGATCTTATCTAGAAGCTGTAGGGCCACCTGTCGCTTTCTGAGTGCAAGGCTCCTGGGCCCTCAGCCCCAGCCCGGCCAGGCCCTGCCTCAGAGAGTCTGCATGTCAGAGCAGGAGTTGCCCACCCAGCCTGGCTCTCCAGCCTGGAGCCCAGTCACAGACCCTGGGTGGTCTCCATCACTGTGCAGTCACTGTCTAAACTCATCCTCTTTCACGACCTTCCTTCTGATTTCTCTGTTCATCCACCAGGCTCTGCGATCTTGTCTTACTGTCAGTGACACTTTCAGATATCCGTGGTCCCGGAATCATTTGTCCAGTGTCGGGGTTCTCCACTCAGGGCTCCCCAGAGCAAAGCAGCTGCTGAAACCACATTTCTCACAGCCTCGCCTGGCATAGCGAGCACCTGGTGCAGGTGCACCCACTTTGCTGACTGCCCCATCATCACCAGCCGTTTTGCCAGACCTTCCTAACATGCTCTCTGGGCACTGAGCGTGACGGCCCCGCTGCCACTGTCCCCTCCGACCCCCTCCCCAACCCAGTGGAAACTCTGGCATTCCCAGGAAGCTCCCACCTGCCGCCTGTGAGGGGCCGCCAAGCTGTGTTAGCTGCCGGCTCCATAGAGAAGCAGTGCAGTGGGCCTATGAGCTCGTCCAACAGGGCTCAGGGGGCAGACGGGGCTCAGGGAGCAGATGGGGGTCGGGGCGGGGCAGATGGGGCTCAGGTGGCCTACGGGCCTCGGGTGACTTCTAGCCGAGCCTAGCATCCTTAAACCCTGTGCTCTCCTTGGAGCACTGGGGAATGCGCCCTCTGGTCCCAAACACCCGCCATGATGGTTACAGCATCTGCCCCGCCCCCAGCCCAATCCTGACCAAGGAAACACAGCACCTCCAGGGTCCCCTGTGTGACAGGAACTCGGCAGAGAGGTCAGGGGTCCGGACCTGAGGAGTGGCTGGGGGCCAGGATCCTGTCCCAGCGCCGCCCTCACTGTCCCGGGGTCCTCAGAGCCCAGCAGTGCTCTTCCCCGCACCCCGGGCTCCTCTGCAGCAGGTGCAAGCCCAGCCCTCCCTCCACACCCACCCGCTGGAGAATAACCTGGCTTCCAGGTGCCCTCCCACCGGGGCCCTGACCTGGTGCTCCACTCTGCCCCGAAGCACCTGGCGAGTCATCCTCCAGCAGCCCTCTGGGGATCTTGTAGACTCGAGATTGCTCTTTACAGCTCCCCTCCAATTGTAGAGGCGGAAGAGCTGCTACAGTCATTTCCTTTTTTTTCCTTTTCTGATTAGCATAATCCCCTCTGATCTTCCTTTTCCCTTTTTTTTAATCCTCACTCACCCAAGGAGTAAGGATATTTTTTTCTCCATTGATGTTTAGAGAGTGGAAGAGAGAGAGAGAGAGAGATCGATGTGGATGAGACACATCGCTTGGTTACCGCCAGCTCCCACCCCGAACAGGATAGAACCTGCAACCGAAGTATGTGCCCTTGACTGGGAATCGAGCCCTCAGCCCCTCAATCCGTGGGCTGACACTGCAACCATGACGCCAAACCGGCCAGGGCTCTTTTCTATTTTTACTGTGATTGCTCCATGCTCTCAGTCCACAGACTCTGCAATTCTGTTGAACGAAGAGGCTAAAAGAAAAGGCAGAATTGTCGCTGTATGCCCTGTGCGCTGTGAGGTCTAGAGGGGCTGTGCACGGGAGCCAGGGGTGCAGCTACACGTTGAGGCCCGAAGGATGGGCTTTTCCTGAATCAGAACTTTTTAAAAATATGTTTTTTTAATGATTTGAGAGAAAGAGGGGAAGGGAGAAGGAGAGAGAAACATCGTGTGAGAGAGAAACACCGATCAGTTGCCTCCCACATGCACCCTGACCAGGGATTGATCCTGCAACCTGGGTCTGTGCACTGACCGGGAATTGAACCAGCGACCTTTCTGTACATAGGACGACACTCAACCAGCTGAGTCACACCGGCCAGGGCATGAATCAGGGTGTTTTATCAAGGTGTGAAGTGTTCAGAAATCCAAGGAGAGCCGAGTGCTGCAGAACAACAATGCCACCCAGGGGCTGCTTACCTTTCGGGGTCAGCTGTGTGTGTGTCCATGTGTGTGTGCGTGTGTGTGTGCGTGTGCGTGTGCGTGTGTGTGTAACAAAGAAGGTGTGTCTCTCAATCTGAGGAACTTCGGGGAAACCAGCCGAGGAAGCAAAGTGTACCTTATCCCCTGAGGAAGGGCCCCGCCTCCCACTGCCATGGGCCGGTGACGATCCCTGGAAGAGGCTGAACCAGCCACAGAAGCAGCAAAAGAGCCCAAGGAATCCATGCCGACCACCTAAGTGTGCTTGATTTGGGGGAAAGGAGGACATGGAAAAGACAGACACTTTCGCGGCCCTCGTGGGAACTTTCTTAGGGGGAGGAGGAGACTCCTCTACAGTTCCTTTGGCTACAGGAGTAACTACAGGAAGGAGAGGGAGGGGGTGAGAGGGAATTTAAACCCTCAAGCCCCGAAGCCGTGCTTACTCGAGAAGCATGGGTAACGGTGGAGTGGCTCCTTTCCCATCCGCCCCACAGCCAGCCACTCGGTAGGGACAGCTGGTGACGCCTCAGGTGCTGGTTTAGAACGATGGGTGAAACGCTCCTTTCGGGACATGGTCCCAGTCCCTGCCAAGCCAGGAGGTCCCAGGCGGGCGATGGGGATGGTTAACCTGGGTCTTGGAAGGTGGGCCAGGTTTGGACAGGCGGGGGCTGGGAGAGAACGCTCAGCCCACCGTCTCTGTTTGGCGCTCACTCGTCACATCCAGGCCAGGCGCTGTCAGAGGGGCCAACACCGGCCCTCTGGCCTTGCTCCTGGTTCCGCTCACGGAGACTCAGGAAAATCAGGACACACCTGGACACCGGGCTCCGGTCACCTCAGGTGGCCTCACCGACCGCCCAAGTCCCAGGAAAGTTCTGCCGGGAGCCGTGATTTCCCTGAGCCCGGGGTTGGCGCCGGCATTTGCATGTGAGCGCTTGCAGGACGTGGTCGACATGCAAATACCCGTTTGCTCTCAGAAGAGTAGCAGACAGGAGGACCGCCAGATTAACCTCCCCCGGGAGAAGCTGCCGTCGGATAAGCATGTCAGAGGCCTTTAATAATGGGCCCGCCCTCCCTATTAGCAAAACCTGACTTTTAGTTAAACAGTAGGTCCAGACTGAATTCTAGAGCAACGAAGGGTTTATTACTGTATTATTTAAAGTAAGGCTTCTTTCTAAACCGTGTCTACGCATCCAGCCCAGGGTGCCTGTGGTTCCTCCGCTGGTTAGGGCGAGGCACCGTCTGTATTCCTCTAAGATTCACCTTTGTATCCCGTCAGATTGGTTCTCCAGTTCCTCCCCAAGACTCGGACTCGCAGAACTCCAGAGCCGCCGAGTCCTCCGCTCACACCGCCCAGGTCACCAGCGTCACCCAGGGCCCACCGCCCGGAAGTAACCGGATAAGCTGCACATAGCTAGGCCGTAGGCAAGTTTTCTGACTGCCTTTTCCTTGTCTTACTATCCCACTTCTCATGTTCTGCCCAGATGTCTCCTTACCACACATTACACACGTCACATTGCACTCAAGGGACACAACGTTTGACGCACCCCTTGCTGTCTCGTCTCTAGCACCGCTGGGTGTGGGAGCCTGTTCCACCTGGCGGGGGCGCTCGGGACTGTCCGTGTCGTACCAGCAGTGTGACCCCCCTTCCGACAGAACGAAGCTCCCCTCCCATTTGAGTGGCAGGTCTTGCAGGCTCCAGGAAGCTAAGAATGCTGCGGAACCCACCCGCCTGGCTCCAGCCACGGACACGGCACAGCCCACCCCAGCCCGCAGTCCACGGATACCCTCAACCAGAGATGCTTCCCACCTTCCAGCTCCCTGGTCCCAACCCCTGCGCCTGGAGAAGCTGGAGGAGCCCCAGAAGCCAGGGAGACTACAACGCAAGCGCCTCTCCGCAGGGACACAGGCCAGGCAGGGGCTGGTCCCTGTCCCATGGATCCTGGGGCCCGACGGCTCAGCCACGGGACGAAGGCGGCCGTGGAATTCCTCCCCCAGTCCCACCGCTAGGCTCCTCTACACACACACACACACACACATCACTTCTAACAGCCGGAAACAGCAGTCCCCATCCATCCTTACTTTTCCCCAAGCCGCTGGCTCTGCCTAAATGAATGACTGTCCAACCGATCACTAACCACTTTAGGCCCGGTGGGCAAGAGGGGCCGTGGCTGCAGAGGAAGGCTGTGGGGCAGCTCATGGCAGCTGCTTTGCCATCAGTACGGAAACACACCCCCACACACCCATCTGCTCCTCTCACTGCTGCCTAGCAATCACATCCACGGCCACAGGGAGAGGCTGCACCCTGCACACACACACACACACACACACGCCCTGGGGTTTCCCTCCCCCACAGGCCCAGCAGAGATTGGGGCACAGGGCAAAGGGCAGCGTCCTACCGAAAAGGCCATGGGGCTCCGACTGGCGCCTCTCGGTGCTCCGGTTCGGCTCCTTGTACTTCTTCTTCCCCCTGAGGCTGCCGAAGCGCTTCATCGGGAGCGGCAGCCACGGGAGCGGCGGCAGGCGACCATACCAGGACCCTCGGGACCCCCTCAGCCCCAGGCGGCGGGGGGCCAGGAGAGGTGCAGCATCAGCCCGCAGGTGTCTGGCGCCCGGCAGTCGGCCACCAAGAGCTCAGAGACAGCGGGGAGTCCAGGCGAACTCCCGGGGGCCCCGAGGCGAACTAGGATGGGTCCCTCTCCGGGGCGCAGCCTCAGGACACACAGCGGGGTGACCCCCGTGCAGTCCTTCCTCCCGCAGGCCTCCGGCCGCAGCAGCTGGGGCAGCCCGCTGGCTGGAGTGGCAAGGAGCCGCCGGCAGCACAGGCAGAGCCTCACCCGCGGGGCTGTTTATGGAGCTCAGGTCAGCTGTGTGCTCAGACACCCCAGGGGTTTCTCCCTCTGTACAGTAGGAAGGAGGGAGGACGAAATAGGCAAACGGAGCACGGGCCCGCTGGTCATGTGCGGGTCTGCGATGTCTCTTTAAAAAGACTGTAAAAGGAAACCACGCTGGGCAGACAAATCCTTGGCACCAATTGGCCGGAGCGCACTCCCATTATGACATGACATCACACAACTATTTTGATTCATGTGTTCCAGGGGCTCAGAAGGCTCCAGCACTTCTCCATGGAGAAGTCACATGTCCCTGGAAATCGCTGAGTCTACTGCAGCGCGGGGCTCCTTACGATGAAAGAAACAAGACCACCTGTAAGTGGGGGACCTGGGGCCCCCTGGGATTCACCAGAAGGGCCAGCAAATTTGCTAAGAACTGTAGAATGACAGAGCTCAGAAGAGGTTGTATAGAGGGTCGTCTGGTCCAACCCCTCCCGGGACAGATGGGGAAACTGAGGCTTGGGAAGGCGATGGGACTGATCCAAGGTCCTGCAGGTAATGTCAGAACCAGGGCTAGAATTCTAAGCCAAACCCACAACCTAATTAAACAAACCAAAAAACTTTTAGCTCGTGTTTTGCAACTGTGAAACAAACGTTAAAACCGCAAGAGGGAAAACAGTCCCCCCCGCCCCCCATATCTTCGCTAGCCTACAGGAAGACACAGGACCTGCTGACTTGCTTTGGGACCTTGAGAAAGTTTCTTCCCGCCCACGGGCCTCAGTTTCCCCCTCTGTGAACCAAGGGAGTCGTGGACATGTTAGGATCGAGTCTCTTTCTCAGCCGGAATGTCCGATGGCCGCTCAGTGTGCCTTCCTTTCCTGCTGGACCCAAGGGCAGCTCAGTGGCCCCACATTTGCTGCAAGGATGTCTGAACACACACACCCAATAGGCCTGGCCCTCAAGGAATTCCCCAAGGACTTGGAGAGACAACGACAAGCTGTTAAGCAACACTAACTCATAAAGAAGCTGTATGAGAATGAGGTTAAGCTGCGAGAATGGGCGCGTGTCATCAGCACCGATGGGTGAGAGGGTTGCGTGGCCCAGTGTGGAGAGGAGGGCAAGAGCTGGTGGCCCTGAGGGTTGAAGGAAAGGAGAGAGGCCAGCCCCTCCCCGCCCCGGGAGGAGCTGAACCTCCAGAAACAAGGTGTAAAACCTACTTCCAGCCAACTCCCCAATGTTCTAGTGGGTTATCTCCGTGGTTAAATATCTCAGCCCAAATTTACTGCGATAAACTCTGAAAAAGACTAAGTAGGTAGGTTTGGAGTTCCACATTTAGAGTTCCTTTTTTAAAAAAAATCTATCCAGCTGTTAATGGAAATTGAATGTTCTGATTTAAAAATAAAGCCGAACTTCTTTAGCAAAAAACTGCTAAACACGTGTTCCAGTAAGAAAAAAAGGGCAATGTTTGATTAAAAGGAAAATGAGATGTTATATCTAAGCCAATATAATATTCTTGCCTTAGTGACAAAGTATGGAGCAAGAGAGAACATTTCAGAGCGTAGCAACGAAAGATGAAAATACAGCAACGTAGTTAGGCCTGCTGTTCCCTGCTCAGTGCACATGGCCACTCACTCATCGCACAGTCATTAAACCTCCGTCAAAGGTACAGGGCAGGGCTGACGGAGGGGATTAGTGTCATGAATAATTCGAAGGCATTCTTGTCCTCTAAGAACTCCATTTTAATTAGTCAAATAATAACTCCCATTTGTGGAGCGCTTCCCACATGCCAGCCGGGGTGCTGGTCACCACACGGTTATTATTTTATCTCGTCCTTCCTACAACCTGTGGGCAGGTGTTAGTAACACCATTTTATTTAAAGATGAGTAACGCGGAGTCAGGGAAACAGCCTGACTGGGTTCACACGCCTAACAAGTTGGAAGACCGTGGACTGGACCCTTGTTTATCTGATTCCGAATGCAGATCTTGCCCTGCCGCACCCTCCTTTCTCATACACAGGCACAGGGAAACCCACCAGCCGCGAGGCAAGGCCTGGGCAACGCCCGGGCTGGACCCTACAGGACCCTGGGTGGGGCTGGAGCGATTGGGAAGTTCCTCTCTCTCCACTTGCACTTGTAATTTTTTTATTTATATGTTTTTATTTATTGATTTTAGAGAGGAAGGGGGAAGAGAGAGAGAGAAAGAGAAACATCGATCTGCTGTCCTACTTATCTGTTCATTCATTGGCTGATTCTTGCATGTGCCCTGACCAGGAGTGGAACCAGCCACTTAGGCGATTCGGGACGATGCTCTAACCAACTGAGCTACCGGGCCAGGGCCTCCCACTTATAATTTTGATCTTGAGGCAAGAGAGAAGCACCATATTTGAAAGCTTTGTTCCCATCACAGTTCATCTTGTAACACCGGCCAGCCGAGCGGGTGTCTACGCAGAGCTGACCTGACCCAGGCTGCCCGGCTCTGGGAACACCATGCAGACCGCTCGCCTTCCCGAGGCCGCGCCCAGGCTGCTGAGCACGGACGGGGAAGACACCGGTCCCCCATGCCCTGCCGGCCCAGAACCTGGGGCTGCCGCCAGCTTGGCCCCACACTCCACGGACTCACTTCTGAGACAGGTTGGTGCCCTTGTAGAGCAGAGCCAGGGTCCGGCCAAGTGAAGGGAAGGACCACCCAGACGGCTCCGGGTCCCGGCTCTGCTACTGAGACGGGAGCAGAATACTCCGAACAGAGACGCTGGCGCTGGGCCGACTCGCAGACGGCCGTGTTTGCCTGCACAGTTCGCTGTGGTCAAGGATGCGGACAAGCTTTTGGTGGAAGGAGTTGCGAGCGGTGCGAAGGGCAGCTTTAAGAAAAGCTAGGTGACCTTGAGAGTGGACACCCCCCCGCCCAGAGAGACCCCAACTACAGCAACATGTACTTTTGACCTCAATCAAGATGTTCTCCCTGGAGTCGGGTCGAAGCCTCACGTGCTAACGGGGTTTCCGGGCAGCTGCTCTCCTGGACCCAGTCCCTGCCGCTCTCCCTGTGCACACACTCCGGCCGTGGCCCTCTCCTGGGTCCATCGTGGCCGGCACTGGCTGGCAAAGTCCCTGGGAACTCTACCAGGCGCTTCCACTGGTGTTCCTGCCTGACCATGCATACCTGAGATTCCTTAACTTGGGAGTCTCCTCAAGGCCTTGCCTTCCCCAGGGGCCCAGACGCTGCACGGGGCAGGCGACATCCACACTGCGGGAGAGGGACCTGGGACCACTCGCCGGAGCCTGCGCCCTTCCCGACTGCACCGTTCCCACCAGCGGCTGGTCCCAAGGGCGCGAGGGGGCCTCCCCCCCCAGCGGGGACTCACCCTGGGGCGCTGGGGAGTTTTTACAGGAAGGGTTAATAAAAAAGGAACTGCTGGCTCCCAAGACAGAGCCGTATTTGCAAATGTCTCTCAAAGGGCCAGGCCTTTCTGGGCCCGACGTGCACCTCTCTGTTGGGACAGGACGGGTCACTGGAGAGGCAGACACCTCGCCCCGCAGCACATCCCAGGCCGAGGGGCAGCCCCACCCAGATCACCACTCCGACCCGTTCCACAAGGTCTGGGAGGGGCGGACTCCAGGCCATTCGATCTGTGTGCTTTGTTTTTCTTGCTGTCGTTTTTCTAGTTTTTCAGCTATACAGCAGTTGACAGCTAGAAAAGCAAAGTGACACTGGAGAGTACTTCTGGAGACATTTCACACCGAGCGCAAGCCATGCTCCCACCCTGCGTGCCCCGTCTCCAGCCGGAAAGCTCCGTGGCGGGCCCAGGACCAGGGAGTAGGTTCCAGCTGGGGCTCCTGAGCTCAGAGGTGGGGCAGGACCAGGAGCAGGTGTGCCCTGCACCGGTCACCTGGGCAGCATGTCCTGTCCGGGCACCCTGGCCCTCCCCTCTGGAGCCGCGGGAGGCTGTGACACCCCTCATTGCCCTCTGCGGGGCTCCAAGGTGGCTCAGCCACGGCTCTGCATGTCCCCCATGCAGGCCCGAGGCGCACAGGCAGTGGCATGCGGGGGGTGGGGGTGGGGAAGGGGGGCAGGTGTCCTGATGCTTGCATTTCACCAGGTGTTGCCTCTGCACCTCTGGATACTGCAAACCACTCAGCAGCCAGAGTGCGGCACCCACGCTGAGGCCCAGCTTCTGTCTGTCACCCCAGCCAGTGCTCACCCTTGTGCAGCGGCAGGAGGCCCCGAGATGAGGGGACTCGTGGGGCCACACGGGTCCCGAGGCAGTGCCACACCTCCACCGAGGCCAGCTCGGCCGTGGGGACTGCCCACAGCGGCAAGGCTCCCGGGAGCCGGAACTGCCTCTGGATCACCAATTCAAGTGAAAAATGAAAAGGCCCCAATCCGTCCTCATCCTGAAGCCGCGCCGGGTGTGGTGTTATATGCAGGGGAGCCGGGAGCCGCACGGATGGGAGCAGCCGCAGAGTGGAGCCGGCTGGTGGAGCCCCGCGTTCCCCGTGGAGTTCCCGGTGCCGTCCTCTGTCCCAGCTATAGCCTTTCCCAAAGCGCCCTCCTCACCCCTTCTGTGCCCAGCCGGGGGCAGGGCGGCCAGCCAGTCCTGCTCAGCTTACGAAATAAAAAGGAACAGAGGTTCAGAGAAGCAAAGTGATTTGGCCCAGATCCCCTGGGAGGGGAGCCAGCAGACGGGGTGGGGTTACCTCCTGGGTCCCGGCCCCCCATCCAGGGGCCCAGTTGACAAAGTCAGTGGACACACGTCCGCTGAAACCTCGGAGGATAGTGTGACAGAGCCTGAAAAGCACCCAGGTCTCGGAAAGACCGCGGGCCCCGCACAACCCCGTTTCGTAAGAGGCCGCGGGCCCGGGCCACTCGTTAGCACGATCTGCTGGTGCTCCTGCGGGTTGCAAAATCCTGTGTCATATTTCATGGCAAGTTCTAAAGGTCACGGCGGCACGTGACTCTGAGTGCGATCCCTGCCGCCTCCGGGGGCCTCCGAGGCCCTGCCCCCGAGCCGTGGATGAGCTCGGGGCCCCCTGACTCAGGCCCCCATGTCTGCCAGCACCTTCCGCGTCACCCACACACTCACGGTCATGCACAGCCCCGTGGCTCCGGGCCCGGAGTTTACAGCCTCTCTGAGTGACAAGAGGGTGGTTTCTTTGGGCAAAGACAAAACTCCTCAGCTTGCAAGCTCATACGAGTGACACCCAAACCCAGAGACACAGGGGTACCGTCACTTTAAGAATACAGAAAAGCATAGAAAAAGTGGCCAGAAAAGCATAGAAAAAGTGGAAAACCATGGCAGGAATTATTTTAGCATGCCAAAGTGCAGCACCCCCAAAATGTGGAATCCTGAAGTATCCTTAGCCTCTGGAAGGGGCACCACAGGCCCACGGGAGGGCTCAGGAGTGGGGGGTGGGGGGCTAATTTAATCCCTTCAGGGCCTGCAGTCCCTGGGGGTCCACACCAGGCCGAGGGCTCGAAGACCAGGGTCCACTGCTGCCTGCAGCTCTCCTAGTGCCCCCTCGGGAGTCACAGGACAGGGGCGCTCAGAGATGCCAACGGGTCTGGCGGCCACGCCCCCGAATCCCTGTTTCTCTGCGTTGTCTTAGACCAAGAGATACAGGAAGCTGCGAAACCCTGGGCAAGAGTCCAGGCCGCGATAAGTCACCTGCTGGGCAGAAAGCTGGAGTGTGGCCACCTGGGCCCTCACTCCCTGCGCCCAGCAGGGTTCCGGCCCCCAGACCTGGGGGTCCTCCGGGAGGACCCCGCGCTCGGCAGCCTCACCTGCAAACAC